GACTCTCGATTGTCCCATGCAATACTAGCTATTCCGGACTATCATCCTGTTAGCGCTGAATTCCTTGCACCATATTTCTGAGCTCTCTAGTGGGGGCTTCTTTCCCTTTCACTACTATTGTGTTGAGGTATCACTCCTTGCCAATCTGTCGAAAAGTATCTGCAAGTTGTCTTTTAATAATGCCTCTTGACCTTGGCTGTGTGGGCCTCACCCCTCCACTGCCCTCTGGAAGCGTGTGACTCACTCTCACCCTCTGGTGACATCCTCCTAAAAGAACAACAATGCTTAGTTCATCAGGTAGTCATGGATGTACACTATACTGACTTATTGAATGCAAGCCCAGGAAACTGAACCTAGGGCTCTGATACCAAATTTGTAACATTCCCTTCCCGGTTCACCCGTAAACCGAATAAATCGAGCCGAGACGCTACAAACTGGTTGACTTGAAATGAACTGACATGCTAATCATTAATGTATAATGAATCTAATATTTCATGCTGGAAATCTAATATCATGCTGAGATTGCTTATAGTAATAATGTACTGAATATTTACAAGACATGATACTAGTTACAAAATGGATTGGGCCCAACTGTGTGCCTCGTACATGCCATAAAAGAATAACAAAATGAGTTTCTACCCTGAAGACCGAGTCTTCTACAGATGAATGGCAGCAGTTGTAAACGGACCCTCTACGAACTAGTCTCAAAACCTGCGATTTAAACAGGTAACTAGCTGAGCAAATAAAGCTCAGTGGATATCTCAACATAAAACAACAATAAGCACACATATAAGCAAAAAGCATTATGTAAGCACACACATATAATCACACATAACATGCGGCTTTCATTTTACCTTCATGATCTTTCTTACTGTTTATTGTACTGTATGATTCATGCAAGAGCAAGTTAAAATATCTGTATGGCTCCATAAGGTTATAGTGAAACCGAAGTGATAAGATAAACTGTATGAAACTGGATGAAACTGTATGCTATAGGCGCTGCTATGGCCTGTATAATCATATCCACTCAACGGCCTGTAGCCGGAGTTCCAAAAACTGTATGGGGCGCAGAGATCTACTATTCTATGTCGCAATAGCCTTATCTCAACATGGTTTCTACCAACCTCAATGGAGCTTATTTTAGCATATCAACAATGTACACAATAGCACATAAAATGGTTTTAAACTTCATAGTTCATCATATTGATTTGAGGTTCACATCATTTAAATATTACATTGTTTGTTTTAATCCATGTTCTTATGTTGTATTTTGTTTTACAATTGATTGGAATGCATGCTTGATGAGCAAGGAAGTTAATGCATAGGAAATTTTTGTTTTACAATGATTGGATGCATGCATGATGAGCAAAGGAAGTTAATTGCATAGGAAATGAAGACAAAAAGAATGTCAAAGCATCAGTCGCGAGCACGACATGCCAAGTCGCGAGCGCGAGTTACACTGAAGAGGTAAGTCGCGAGAGCATCTTCAGACCTCGCGAGCACGAGATGTACCATTTGAGAGTCAGAGAGGTTTTTGGCTTAAGTCGCGACCGCGCAACACAAGTCGCGAGCGCGAGATGAAGTCGCGAGTGCGTCTTCAGACCTCGCGAGCGCGAGATGTACCATTTGAGAGTCAGAGAGGTTTCTGGCTCAAGTCGCGACCGCGCATGTGGAATTCGCGAGCGCGACACTCTGCCCAGCCTGCGCGGCGCGCGCTACGTGATTCCAGACTGTACAGTCTGTATTCTTTTGGCCATAACTCTCAATATACAACTCCAAATTGAATGATTCAAAAGCCCACGTAAAGATAACACATTAACACATAGAGGAACGAATAACTCTTCTATAACACTTCCTAATTCCCTCATTAAATGGGGTCAAAATCAAGATGAAGTCCTCCCCTGTTTTCAACATAATCTCAATACCTCCCCTGTTTTCACATCATGTCCAATCTTCTCACTCAACAACAAGCAACATATCATCTCACTAGCAACACACCACACAATTTACATGCAAAGAAACTAGTAAACAACATGAGATATCAAACCAGCTCTGTTCTAACTTCTCTTCTCTACACTCTTTGAACTTCCTTCACCTAGAATAAAAATTCTTATCACTTATCTACGATATAACTCAATTAGAGGTTGAATAGCATAAAGCTTCAAGAAATTCTACTTACTTGGAGAACTAGAGGTTGCCTTAATGCTTTACTACCATTGAAAATGGATGGAGAACGGGAAAGAGATGAAGAGAAATGAAGGAGATTAAAAGAGGAAGATTGGAAGATGAGGAAACGTTTGAAGATGAAGGTGAAAGGAAATGAGAAAATGAAGAACGCAAGGTCAAATGGAAGGCTCGTATACTTCCCAACCATCTCTTTAATTGTATGGTGCAATTACCAAATAAGACCTACATTTTCTAGGGCAAGTAAATCCACTTATAAATCCATTCTACCCCAACCGGGTTTGGTTTGGCCTGACTTAACTCGACTCTATGAACTGACTCGACTCGGTAGGATGTCACACAAACAATCGAAATGAATTATAATTTATAAAAATTATATTCAAAACAACAAACAAAAAGAAATAAGATTATGACAAGCTTCGTAAAATTAAAATGGACAATTTAACTCAATGAATTAGTATATCAAATATAAACCGATTCAATTTATCTCTCTCTTTGTTCTAATCTTTTTTAAAAAATTATTACAATTTTCTTTTATTTTTAAAAAATAGAAACAAGAGAAGAAAAAGGAAATATCGTGTGAGAGGTAAAAATCTAAAGAAATAAATAAAATAATGTATAATGAAATAATTTATTTTGATTTTTTTGGATAGAAAATCTATCTAACCGCACTTAATTATATATAAAAAAAAATAATGTTCTTTTTTATTAAATAGTACAATGAAAGACATGACTTAATAATAGAAGTATAGGACACAATTGTAAAATGAGAATTTTAATTAGGATAAACATTTGAGATTCAGTAGAGGCGATTATGGATATATGCTTCTTCTTTTTTTTACCATTGTCTTTGAAACATTATTGACATAGGTTTTTTCAAATTAACTTGTCAGGTCCTCTATTTTGGAAAATTAATTATTTCTTGTCAATCTTTTTTTTTTTTTTTTTTTTTTTTATAGTTATTTTTTCAGGAAAATAAATTGCTTTCAACTTGTTAATATTCTTAAAGATATTATATTCTTACTCTATTTTACACAAGCCTTATTTTGTATCCATCAACTAATATTACCATATTATATTATATTACAATATAATAGTATTACCATATTATATTATATTATATTATTATATAACATGTGTTTATTACCATATTTAATATATACCTTACATAGTATATAATATAATTTTTTTAATTTATCAAATATAATTTAAATTGAAATGGAAAATTAATATGATTAATCAAAATTAAATTATTTTTATTTTTCAACCAATCAAATTAAAATCGTTAATGATATTTTTATCGATCTATAAATTTAATAAGATATTTTGTGGCAATCACAATATTTACCACCTATCCTACACTTATGTGCCTACTGCATAATGAAAACTATAAGAGGTTAAAATTAAAGTCCTATTTTACAGGTGATAAATTTACAAATATTATTTCTAATATTTTTTCAATTAAGCATTACTTTTGTTAACATTTGTGTTATAACACTTCACAATGATGACTCCAGGCATTTTTAAAAGAAAATATACATTTTTTTTTAAAGAAAAGAAAAGGAAAATATACATTTATATACATATATTATGTTGTGAAATTGTTTATAAAATATAGTGTGATGAATTTTTGTGGATGGGCTGGGCTTTGAGCCCATGCTAAAGCCCATTAATAAGCCGCCATGGGAATGGAATCCACAAAGCAACAAAGTCAAACAAAAATAGCGTGCAGCGATATAGCACCAGGAAAGTATCAAACAAAAACCATACCATCTTACTCCAAATATGTCCATTTTTCAATTCTAAGCAACTACATTGAAAGTTACCTACCCTTCTCTCTCTCTCTCTCTCTTTCTCACTGCACCTACCAAAACCTGCAACTCCTTTGACTTGTCTTTCTCTTCTCTTTTGCTCGATGCTTCTCTTTTTTTTCTCAATAAAGATCGAAGCAATTCTTTCTCTAATTCTCCATGGATTTTCGATTCAGAAAGTTATTATCTGAAGAGAATGAAACCTGTTCAAAGTTCTGTGTGTCATCAGATGAAGTATCCTATTATTACTGTCAGGGAAGTTGTTGGGATTATTGTAAGGGAAATTGTGTATTTAAACCCTCTCCTCCTCCAATCATTACAATTCACCATCAAAAATCCATCAAATTCTTGATTACAGGTATTGTTTTAGCCTCTGTTTTTCTTCTTGTTGCTTTTTATGCTTTTTATGTCAAATTTTACTCAAGAAGGAGAAGAACAGAGGAAAGAGAGGAGCAAAGAAATGAAATCCATGAAGAGTTTCTTGATGAAGATCATGGTCCTATAATTGACCATCCAATTTGGTATATAAACACTGTTGGGTTACAGCCTTCAGTTATTAATTCAATTTCTGTTTGCAAGTATAAAAGAACTGATGGGCTTGTTGAAGGAACAGGGTGCTCTGTTTGCTTAAATGAATTTCAAGAAGACGAGACTCTTAGGCTATTACCCAAGTGTAGTCATGCTTTTCATATTCCTTGTATTGATACATGGCTTAGATCACATACCAATTGCCCAAATTGTCGGGCTCCGATTGTTATAAATCCCAATTCAGATAGAGCTGCATCTTCAGAGACCAATGTTGAGGGTACGAGCAATGGAGAAGAAACCCGTACCAGAGTTCCAGGGACTGGTAGAGAATCTGATGAAATTGAAGACGTTGATGGTGAATTGAGGAGTAGAACAGATCAAGATGAAGAAGAGGAAGAAGTAAATGGTGAAAATAGAAGAAACAGAGTAGAAGATTTGAATGGAGAGAAAGATGGGTTGCAACCAATTAGAAGATCAGTTTCTTTAGATTCTTTATCAGCTTTCAAGATTAGTCAAGGTCTTGCTATTGTTGATCAAATACAATCTGATCGAAATTCAAGAACAGAGCATGTAAAACAGAGTGAATCCAGTATGGGAATTGTTTCAAAAAGATTTAGCGGCAATCAAAGCTTATCAAGGTTCATGGCTAGTTCTTCTATTGCAAGATCTTTGCAAATTGGGCCAAGTTCATTGAAGAGATCAATTTCTTGTGGTGGAAAACTGTTCTTGTCAAGATATACCAGGAATAGCAGCTCTGTTCTTCCTTTATGATAAGCCTGCAATCTTCATTTTGGTGGCCTTTTTCAGGTGAGAAATTTGTAAATTGAGATGTTTTGAAATTTCTCTATAAGCTGAGAGTTTTCAAAACACATTATAAATACAAAAACAAAGGAATGCTTTATCAATAAAGATATGAAGTATGATCTACTGATCCGAAGCCGGATAAAGATGTATTTTGATACAATACTATATAATTGTGAGTAACAATTTCTGTTCTTACATGTGTTTATGATTTCACATTATATTCATAGTTCAAACAATTTTTGTTGCTTTTTTTACTAATCCCTCTCAGTATTTTGAAGTGTAAAATTTACTTTCTTCTATAGATATAAGGATCAATACTCGATTACTCACAGAAAAGCAAAAAGTTGAACCAGATAAACGCATAGCTTTTCTCCTAACCTATTCTTTGTAAACTAGTTCAGTTGGCATAAAAAGCTAGAAATAATGAGGAGTTTGATCGTTTTCATACAACTCTCCTTTGGGAGACGATCCAATTACCGTGGTTCATTTCAATTGTTAATATCATAATCAATAATTAATTAATCACTATTTCCTTTACTAAGGACCTGTTTGGATCAGCAGTTGTCGTTCGCTATTGACTATTAGAGATTAGTAGTAGCTAGTTGCTGGGCGTAACTAAATATATCAGTTTTCTTTCAAACATAACTTTGATACATTGACAGCTGAAATGCTTCTTCAACCCCAAAAAATCCGGAATCAGCTGCTGAAAGCTCAAACTCCGAATGCTAGTTACAACCGCTCATCCAAAGAGGCTCCTCAACAGAGAAGAACATAAGAAAGAAAGAATTTGTGAGGTCTATATCATTAATACCCAGCAGAATATAAATTTCTCGTATTGTATCTGCTCTGGAACTATATAATGGAGCTAGCAATGGATATATATATAACATATGACAAAAGCAGTACTAGAGCACTAGCTTTAGTTTCGAAGCACATAAATATATAAAAGAACCTTTCTATTCACATCTAGTCAGGTGATACTTTAGGAGAGCGCTTCAATAGCAGTGAGGAGGGAAATTTTTGCATCGACAATCAATGTGTCATTCACTAGATATCTCTTTGATACTACTTTAGGAGAGCGCTTCAATAGCAGTGAGGAGGGAAATTTTTGCATCGACAATCAATGTGTCATTCACTAGATATCTCTTTGATACATCATAAATATCTTTAAGTGGTATAAATTGTAAGAATCCCCAGCCAGAGCTGCCGCTGATAAACCAAGCACTTCCTGGCATGATAAACTTATATATTAGAAGTTTTCTTTTTGGAACTAAACTATGTATAGAGAGAAATTAATATGTGCTAGAACAGAATATAAGCCAGTTCACCTATACGTTCGTAATGAGTTTCCAGCACCTGATCTTTTACTATCAGCGTATATTCTGAGTACACTCTTTGTCGAGGAAGAGCATTGTCAACGGTAAGCAAATGTAGGAATAATGACAGAAATTTACCCTTTGCCCTTGAATCTCCTTTTGGATATAACTCCAATATCCTGAAATCACTACACCAATTCATTATTGAATATTAAACAATCATCTGCTAAAGCAGTACAACAAGAAATCCAGAATCCTGGGCTGGTCTGTGAAGTACAAGCCACTTATGTTGTGCAACGGTAAATTCCTGTGAGAACTGTTGTCCCTCTGGGAATGTTGAGAACTTCTGAATCTTCCATGTATAGGTACCATTTGCTGGTTCTCTTATAATAGAAAATTTCTCCCCTTTACCTTCGTATTTGATAACATGAACTTCGGCTCCAAATGCACAACAATCATTAACAAGATACCCATTAGAAGGATCACTGAACATCTCGAGCGAGATTAGCTGATCAAAACCATTTTCAGTTTTTAAAGAATGGAAACGTCTTGCTCTATCATCTGCATTAACACGGATAAAAAAGGGAGTGGCTCTTGTCAAAGGAGCATATATGGAATCTTCTAAGAAACTTCTAAATGAGCATTTGATGGCTATTAATCAAAATATAAGTTCCAGGGAAAGAAACCTTGAATGCTCAAGTACTTGTCTTGAATCTGATCATAAATCAATAATTTGAGAATCACATCAACCTGGGATCCAACAGGAATTGCATTTGCCCCTGCAATCGCTATGTAGAGAGAAATGTAGGAACTTCCCACTTTTTTCGCATTACCGCAGGGATACAATACTAGTTTCCTATATATTGCAAAAGATGGTGATTACTGAAAGACCAAATTAATGATTCGAGCCTTGAAAAATACAGTTTGAGCATTGATACAGTTTGAGCATTGATGGAAATTAATTACTTACCATTTGTAACCCCCTGATTCGAACTCACTAGATTCATACTTGTTAAGTCCTGTCCTCTTGAGTATCTCACAAAATTTTGAGAAAGAATCAATCTTTAACGTTTAGTGAGCAGGTGGTTCATCCCTTCTTGATCTTTTAATTCCTGTGTCAACAAATGAACAAACAGAATACTGAAGTCTAAATTTTCTTCTTGCTAAAATTGCAGTAATACATAAACCCACATATAAATATACAAACTTGAGAGAGAAAAGGGGTTTGTTTAAAAACTATAACACAAGATTTCAAGTCGGAATGATTTCATCTGCGGTAATGCAGGAAGCTAAAAAATCAATCTTTTTTTTTTTTTTTTTTTTTTTTTTTTTTTCTTTAATTTTCTAACATGAAAATTTTAAGCAGCGCAGCACAGTAAATCTTTTTTTTTTTTTTTTTTTTTTAATTTCTTACATGAAAATTTTAAAGCAGCAGCAGCAAGTAAGATCTTTTACCAGGTGATTTTCATTTTTAAATGAATAACTCTGATTTAGAGAGCGAGAGCGCTTCATAATCGCCACTGACTGGGCTCTCAATATTCGTGGCATATGGTGTCTCTAATCTATATGTGATTATTGAAAATTCCCACAACTTGATGTGGTAGATGGAAATTCAGGGCTTTATTGTTCTTTAAATTCTTGATTTGATGCATATTGATCCCTTCCGGTGCTTCTAATACCATTGTATTTTGCGTTGGATTTTGTTCCCGAAGAGATAGGTGCATCCTTTAAATTAGGTTCTCTTACTCTGGATTTTCTTTGTTTTGTTTTACAAGTTACAACTTACTACTCAGATATTGCTAAACTGAGAGTCTGAGACATTGCCATTGTTTTAAATAAGTAAGGGAAAACCGAACTAGCGAACCAAATGGATTTGATTCAGTTCGGTTTAATATTTTACATTATCGGTTCTATTTTAGTTTTAATAGAGAAAATTGAAATTTTATTCATTTGGTCTGGTTTTTATTAAATCCAAAACAATAAATCTAAATCTATCTTAAAATAGTTAATATTTAATGCAGTTCCAACCCAATTTGATTCTATACATGATATATTTCAATTTCATTTTACATCTACAGTAATTTCAGGCCATTTGGTTAACTTTTGTTCGATTTGATTAAACCAAACTGATTGAATGCTTACCCCCTAATTAACATTCCTAAAATTACGGTTCATAGCAAAATTAATTTTGGGAATCAAAACTCAACTTCTTATAACAAACAAGTTGATGAATTACCAATCATAAGTTTAAGAGGTTAAGTGCAAAATAAAGGTATAATTTGACAACATAAATAACAAAAAATGCGGAAACCGCTTGAATTAAGTAAAAATGTTAAGTCTTTACAACTTTGACTAAATTTCATATTTTCTATCGGTACCATTTTTTTTTTTTTTTCATTTTTCTCATATTTAATAATAAAATTTTTTAATTACAAAACTTTTATTATTCTAATTTTTTTTTTATGTTCGAGTTAAAGATTTTAATATTTTTTAATTAATTTTTAACATTGCAACCAAACAATAGAAAATAAGTCATCTAAAAAATATTTTTCAAGGAGTACTAGACATAATCTAATTCCTATTTTGATTTGATAAGTATGTCCAAGGAACTGAGTTTGATTTCATCATTTTAGGGTCTGTTCAGCAAAATTAGCTGTTCTGATAGCTATTAGCTAGTTTAGCAGCGTTTAGATGTTGGATGTTAGAGTCACTTTTCATGAAAAGTTAAAAGTTAAACATTACGTGAGTTAACCATTCATAAAACGTTATTTTAACCTTTAAAAACTAGTTCAAATGCTATGTTACCGAACACTATAAAAAAATAGCATTTAGCGTTTTGACTGATAAAAAAACTAAAAGCTACTCAAAAAATTGTCGCGGAACATAACCTTAGTTTTATTTCGATTCCCAAAAGTTTTATGCACCGCAGCCCAAAAAGATTAACTGTTCTTAATTTGAAAAAAAAATGCTTTTAATATATATATTTTAATTTGAGAATTAAAAACTGTGGCCATGGAACTTTCAATTTGGGTTTTTTGCATTGTGCTTGGAGATCACCAAATTGGGTAGAATCTCAGTTGGATTAAAAAGCATAGCCCTAGAACAGTAACTATGGGTAATTTCCATATTCAACCGAAAAATATTGACAATTAGTTATTTTATTTTAAAATTTAATACAATATTATTTTATATGATTTATTTTGACCATAGAATGCAATTACTTATCGAATTGGGGTGTTCAACATAATAAAAAATAAGTAGGGTGCAATTGCAAATAAAAGCCTAAGTTAAATGTGCAAAAAATCCTTTGACGGGCTAGAGAAATAAACCTTAAACTAATTAAGATATATGTGAGAAACAAAAATAAAATAATAATATCCAAAATACATTTAAAAATGCCAGTAACATTAAAATAACTAAAATATTTATAGTTCGGTACAATGATAAATTCCAACAACCTTTATATAAATCATATTTAATTAATCTATTATTTGTAGTTTCAGGAGATCAGAGCTTCAGCAACAGAGACTTTGGTAATTTTTGCTTCAACAACCAAAGTATCATTCATTAGAAATCCTGTTGAAAGATTATGGAGATCACTCAACCGCATGAAACTTGCAAAACCCGATAAACTTTTCGACTGATTGAACCAGTTCTGAACTGCAAAAAAAGAAAAAAAAAGAAATCTTTATCAAAATAGAGAATTATCAAAGAAAGAGTTGCTCAAATTTAAAATTTCACTTAATTAATTATCACCTGTACGTTCATGATGGTTCCCATAGAACCGTTCTCTTGCCAATAGCTTACATTCTACATATACTTGCTTTTGAGGTGATCCAATACTGCCGGGATCTAGTTGTAGATATACCGACAGACTTCTGTACCTTTCAGTTAAATTTCCTTTCGGATAGAGAGATAGCTTCCTGAGTTCATTTCAATGTGTATGTATATTAAAATTCCATAATCAACAAACAGTTGCTAATTAACGTTGCAGATAGAAAATTTTGAAGGACTAAGCACATACCATTTATACCCTGCTACAGTAAACACTCCGGAGATATGTTCTTTAGGTTCTAATGTTGAGAAATTGTTAATATACCAAGTATAAGTACCGTTTTCAGGTTCTTCTATAATCTTAAATTTCTCCCCTTTACTCGCAGCAAATTTAAGAACATGAACCAGGTTCTTCTATAATCTTAAATTTCTCCCCTTTACTCGCAGCAAATTTAAGAACATGAACCGCAACCCCAAAGACACAGCAATCATCAACAAGATATCCTTTAGACGAGTCATTGAAAGTTGAGAGAGGGAGTAATTGGTCAAAACCATGTTCAGTTTTTAAAGAATGGTAACGCTTTACTTCACCATCTGCATACATATGCATGGCATATTCATTATATAAAGAGCTCAGTGGTTGAATATCTGCCTAGTGGCCATCGCTAAAAGATAGAAAATGAACTATATATATATAAAATATAAATTAACATATATACCTTCAATACTCAGGTACTGGTCTCGAATATGATCATAAACAGACAATTTGAGGGTGACATCAACCTGAGTCCCCTTAAGAACTGCATCTGTTTCAACCATTGCCAAGTAGAGAGAGATGTGACCATCACCATTTTTTTTCGTATTTCCATATGGATACATCAATAATTTCCTGTCACATTTAATCGATTCATTAGGTTCTGTGTTGAATGTTGACTTAGTAGCTATGGTGAAGGCCGTTGGAAGATTAGATAATTATTTGTTATTCTGTTGCTATTTTTAAGGAATAATTTAATATGCTTATCATATCAGATATGCATAATAAGTTTGCTTATTTATGCAGTAATAAGTTTTCTTATTTTTCTGAGTTTTTTTTGTTTTAGAGTCTATAAATACTTCTGTAATAGTGTTTTCAATGATAATAAAAAAAAGCCTTCACATGTTTTATAAATTTTTGTTGTTTTAAGAATCCTTTTTGAATTACTCTTAGTTTCTGATTAGTTTCTGAGACACATATCTAACATTGTGGTATCAGAGCCAATATCTTATAGGACCTGTGAAATTGAGTGAACCAAAATCAAACCCAAACACCAACCCGTGAGATGGAGGGAGAGTCTAGTTATGGTTCAATTACTCCTCCAATATTTGATGGAGTTAAATACAAAGTTTGGGCTATTAGGATGGAAACTCATCTCAAAGCTTATGATCTGTGGGAGGCTGTGGAAGAAGATTATGAAGTTCCACCACTTGGAGATAACCCAACAATGATTCAGATCAAAAGTCACAAAGAGAAGGTGACAAGAAAAGCTAAAGCCATGAATTGTTTGTTGTTTTTCTGCTGTTTTCACCCTCGATTCTCAGCAGAATTATGCAAAAGAAAATCCTGCGCAGAAATTTGGGAAAATATCTGAAAAGGAGTATAAAGGAAATGGAAAAAAGTTAGATAATATGGCAAGTCATGAATTTTATTTCGTGATTTTGAAACACACAGGATGAAAGACTTATGAGGAATGAAGTTTCTGTAGAAGGTGCTTATCAAGCAAGTTCACGAATTAAAGGACTTTTTGGCAAAGAATTTTCTGATGAACGAATTATTCAAAAAATTCTAGTCACATTACCTGAAAAATATGAAGCAACGATCTCATCTTTGGAAAATTCTAAAGATCTGTCAAGTATTACCTTGGCAGAACTCTTAAATCCTTTACAGGCTCTAGAGCAAAGAAAGCTTATGAGGAATGAAGTTTCTGTAGAAGGTGCTTATCAAGCAAGTTCACGAATTAAAGAAGGGAAACTGACACAGAGGACAAGAAATGCCAAAAATTATCCACCATGTCCGCATTGTAAGAAAACAAATCATCCTCAACAAAGTAAGACATCGACTTCTCAATAACTTTTTTGATTACATGATAGACTTCTTTGAAAAAGGTGTTGGTGGAGACCAGATATTAAATGCCATAAATGTGGTCAGTTGGGACACATCGAAAAAGTATGCAAAGGACAGCAGCAAGAAGAGGTTGAGGCTAAGGCTGTTGTTGATGAAAACCAGGGGGAGCACTTATTTATGGCGTCATATGTTACTACAGACAACTCTGAAGGATGGCTTATAGACAGCGGTTGCACGAACCACATGACCTATGATCGGGAATTATTTAAAGAGCTTGACACAACTGTCATCACCAAAGTCAGAATTGGAAATGGTGAACGTATTGCTACAAGAGGCAAAGGAATTGTGTCCATAGATAGCCTATCAGGTCAGAAACTTATTTCTAAAGTTTTATTTGTTCCTGATATTGATCGGAACTTGTTAAGTGTTGGGCAGCTGCTAGAAAAAAATTATGAAGTGCTCTTTAAAAAAAAAGGTTGTATAATCATCGATCCTGAAGGAAAAGAGGTGTTTAGAATCAAGATGAAAGGCAAAAGGAACAAGAACAAACTTTTGTTGCACAAAGAGACAGCAACACCATGCTTTGGCATAAACGATTAGGGCACTTTCATCATAATGCAGTGCTATTTATGAAGAAAAATCAAATGGTGAAAGGCTTACCAGACCTGGAGAA